ACTTAAAATATGGCAGATATGATCAATCAACCCAAAAGTGAATTAGCAAGGCAAAGTTTACCTTACCAAGAGCTACAAAACCTGTCCGGACCAATTAATCAAATACCATATCATTACAAAGGAATTATCATTTTAATGAGGGAGATAATTAAGGTCCAAAATTATAATTATTCTACCATTTTCAGCAATTCACGAATCCATTCAATGGACAGCCACAAGGTGATAACAATGAAAATACAAATTAACACATTAACTATCCATTTTAGTAGAGAACCAAAGTTATTACCATAGATACAATGGGCATCATAATCGGTTAAGGAATGGAATTTTATAAACAAACAATGATTTAGGAAACCCCAGTTAATACGAATCAGCAAGCATTAAGGAAGCTCAAATGCTTTGACATGATCTCAAAAGTAAAGCATGAACTTGGTAAACAAATCAGCCCACACATATACTAACAATTCAAAATCTAAAATGAAAAGGTGCAGTCATCTCATATTTTACAATTCTCATAGTGAAATGCTTAAAATTTGGTCTCAGAAGTAAAGGAATTTGTACCTGGGACGGATCTGTTAAGATCTGTCTTAAACAAAACCAAAATGTGCCAAAGTGGTTGCCGTTTTTGCCAGAGACGTGGATGACTAATGGCGTGGAGCAGCGATGGTTGTTGCTGGTGTCGCTTGAATGCTGTTGTCGCCGGCTGGAGCTGTTGTCTCACTGGACGCAGTTCGGCTCTCGCTGGCTGCTGGCGGTTATTGTCCTCGCCGGCTGGCTACTGGTTTTCCGTCGGTAGAGCCTGCAGGTGTTGTTGTTGCTGGTCCTCGCCGGAAAAAGGACAGAGAGGAGGCACCGAATTGGCCACCTGCAGCTGCTGGTTGGACAGCAGCCTTCGCTACTTGCTTTATTCGAAAAGGAGAGTGAGGAAGGGGAGGAAGAGAGGAAGAGGAGAAGGGAAAGAGAGGGTCTGCCTCCGATGGCTTTCGTCGGGACAACGATAAGGAGGAGGGAGGTGCGACGCTTAGAGAGAGTTGAGAGGAAGGGATGAATGAAACTTTTTTAGGGTTTCTTTTGGAGTTTTTAGTTTTAAAATAGGAAATAGGAGGATTTGCTCTCAACCGTAGGATTAGAATTAAATAAGCGGCTAGGATTTGATCTAGGATTTAATTTAAAGATGGACAAATGAGATTAAAAGATGAAATCTTAGAATCATATTGGATTGAGGATTTGGAATGGCTAAAATTGAAATAAAAATGGCTAGAAATGAAATGAAAGGGCTATAATTGAAATAAAATTGGAATTGAATAGACTAGAATTGGAATGAATTAGAATAAAATAGGCTACAAGTTAAATGATTTTGAGGAAATTTAAAGAAATACTATCCAATTAAAATACCATAAAATATTATAGTTAAAATTATGTAAATTTTCAGTACTTTTGAATTATTTTGAGTTTTACTAATAATTTAAAAATATTTTAATAGTATTTACAATAATTTTTATAAAGCATGCATACTAAAATTACAATTTTTAGACAAAATCGACTAAAATTTTAGAATTCAAAATATATTTTAAAATAAGTATTTAATTGAATAGCATCCCCAAAAATGGTTAAAGGTCGGTCAAAATTGGGAATGAAGGATGAATTGTCGGGCAACCAACGTTGACTTAGTAGCCGATTTTGTCCGACCGACAAAAGATGTCAGTGGGATCAATTAAAATGACATAGAGTTGAAAAAGAGTACGATCGAGACTTTGGTATTAAGCCGCCTACATATCTCTGGTTATACGAGAATCAGGTTGTGTGTAGTTCTAGACTCAGGAGCAGACGAAACTCCTAAGGATTGAAAGAGCGGAACGGTATTCAAAAGGGAACGATATCAGCTTGAATGGATAAGGCATGACAAAGAGATTTTCGGTTTAAGAGCGCAGGATCCGATGAAGATGAGGTAATATGAGTAGCCAAGGATTAAATGGAAAAAGGGTAATACGAGTAGCAAAGAATTTTGATCGAGTCTTTGTTGTGATAGATGTAAGCACGATAATTGTAGCCGAGAGAGAGAGATTGATCTCGCCTGCAAAATGTTAGTCTCTGCAAATCTGTAGCTTATAATATTATTAGAACAAATATATCAACAAACGATAAAGGTAAGCATGATGCAATTTCTCATATCGACAATGATGTTTGCCATAAGACTATGAAAATGATGTCTTAGGCTATGATGTCTAGGGCCATGATACGCAAAAATTAATCCTCGGGTCATGAAAATGTTGTCTGCGGGCCATGAAAAATGATGCCTTTAGACTATGACACCTTTGGATCATGATAAGCAAAAAGTAAATTCATAAGTCATGATATGATGTTTGTAGGCCATGAAAGATGTCTTTAGACCATGAGGCCTTCGGAACATAAGTAATGAGTAAAGAAAGTGTATCTGTAATTCGGGCATTTGTTGATACTTGTAGCTTGATTGGAGTTTATTCGGGCATATGCAATTCTCAAGCACAATGTAATCTCGGACACATGCAATTCGGGCACAATGCAACCTTCGGGTACAATGCAACCTTCGAACACAATGCAAATCGGGCACAATGCAATCTTCGGGCACATGTAATATCGGGCACAATGCATTCTCGGACACATGCAATGATATAATTCTCGGGCACATGCAATATCGGGCACAATGCAATTCTCAGGCACATGCAATAATGGGCACAATGCAATTCTCGGGCACATGCAATCTTCGGGCACATGCAATATCGGGCACAATGCAATCTTCGGGCACAATGTAATATTCGGGCACATGCAATATCGGGCAAAATGCAATCTTCGGGCTCATGCAATATCGGGCACAATGCAATCTTTGGGCTCATGAAATATCAGGCACAATGCGATTCTCGGGAACATGCAATATCGGGCACAATGCAATCTTCAGGCGCATGCAATATCGGGCACAATGCAATCTTCGGGCTCATGCAATATCGAGCACATGTAATTCTCGGGCTCAATGTCGTCTTTGAGCGCATGCAGTCATTGGGCATATGCAATGATGTAATTCTTGGGCACATGCAATATCGGGCACAATGCAATCTCGGGCTCAATGTCGTCTTCGGGCACATGCAGTCATCGGGCATAATGCAATCTCAGGCTCAATGCAATCTTCGGGCTCATGCAATATCGGACACAATGCAATCTTCGGGCACAAATGTAATCTCAAGTACAATGTAATCTCCGGGAATAATATAGTTTTCGGGCTCATGCGATAATTGTTTGAGGGCATAAACCTTTGCCTTTTAGAAGGATTGAGTGTCATTTGTTGACGAATTCAGAATATTGTAGCTTTGACCCTTCGTCCTATTGTAAGGAGTGGGTGCAGTTGAAAAGTTGATTTGTCGGGCTTGATATAGAGTAATTTGATCCTTTTGTTTGATTGGACGGGTAGCGTACCATTGATCGGCGATTGTCGGACTCAAAATAGCTTGGTCCTTTTATCTTGTCAGAAGGAAAGGGCGCCGTTTATTGGCGATTAGTCGAGCTTAATAGCGGTCAGACGATGTTGAAGCTGTCTTTTGTATCTGTACCTATTTTTTCTGTATTCAAAGAAAAATTGTGAGTTTAAAAATGGGGGCGGTTGATCTGCTCCGACCGGTGTGCTCCCTTTGGCTTGCCATCCAGACCTTTCTGGGCATTTGCTTTGAAGAAAAGTGTAAAATAGAAGGAGAGAGAGTTTTTTGAAAATGTTTTTGAAAATATTAGTTTGTAAAAAGTAATGTTGAATCTTTGACCATGGCATAGTTCGAGACTTTCCAACATCTAACTCAGTGACAAATCTGTTGTTCTGATCTTACTGAAGATTGTAGCTTGATTGTTGTGAATTTTTGAGATCCTCTCAAAAATTCTGCCCCAGTCTTGATTTGTGCAGAAAATGCTCATTTTAAGGAATTTTGAGACCCTCTCAAAAATTCTACCCAGTTAATGATTTGCGAGAAGAAATTTTTTTTGAAGGAATTTTTGAGTTCCTCTCAAAAATTTGTCCAGTACCAAGATTTTGTAAGAAGAATGCTCTTTGATGGAATTTTTGAGACCCTCTCAAAAATTCTACCCCAGTTACACAGTCAAAAGGGGAAAATGAAATTTTTATTATGACAAGACCGAACTCCATAGGAGCGCCTACGTATCCCATCTTAAACGGGAATCAGGTCTGACGTAGTTCCAAATTCAAAGAGCATAAAACGAACTTAGATGTAATATCTCTTCACAGTATTTGAATTGATAGGTTTGGGCCAAACTTCTCCATCCATTTCTGCAAGTATGAGGGCTCCGCCTGTCAATACCCGAGAGACTATGTATAGACCTTGCCAGTTTGGTGAGAATTTACCCTTTGCTTCATCTTGATTTAGGAAAATCCGTTTCAAAACCAGTTGCCCAGGTGAGAAGTGTATGGGTCTAACCTTTTTGTTGAAAGCTCTGGCCATTCTATTTTGATAGAGTTGACCATGACAAACGGCGTTAATCCTCCTCCCATCTATCAATGCAAGATTTTTCGCCCGAATTTGTATCCATTTAGCATCATCCAACTCCGCTTCCTGAATAACTCTTAGAGATGGTATCTCTACCTCAGCAGGTATCACAACTTCATTACCATATACCAGAAAATAATGTGTAGCCCCAGTAGAGGTTCTGATGGTGGTACGATATCCCAACAATGCAAAATGTAACTTTTCATGCCAATGTTTGTGATTATCGATCATCTTGCACAATATCCTTTTGATGTTCTTGTTTGCAGCCTCAACAGCTCCATTCATCTGAGGTCTATATGCTGTAGAATTTCGATGACTGATCTTGAACCTCTCACACAATGATCTCATCAAACCATTGTTTAGGTTGGTTTCGTTATCAGTGATAATTGACTCGGGAATCCCGAACCTACAGATAATATTATTTTTGACAAAGTCATCCACAACCTTTTTTGTCACTGATTTGTGAGAGGTGGCTTTGACTCATTTGGTGAAGTAGTCGATTTCAATCAGAATGAATCTATGTCTATTGGATGCTGCTGGCTCAATTGGACCAATGACATCCATGCCCCAAGCTGCAAAGGGCCAAGGTGAACTAGTAACATGGAGTTCGTTGGGAGGAACTCGGATCATATCTGCATGATTCTGAGATTGGTGACATTTTTTAACATAGCGTATACAGTCTGTCTCCATAGTTAGCCAGAAATATCCGGATCTCAGGATCTTCTTTGCCAATGTAAAATCGTTCATGTGAGGACCACATGTTCCTGCATGTATCTCTTCAATCAACCTGTTGGCTTCTCCAGCTTCGACGCACCATAGCAACCCCAAATCGGGAGTCCTCCTATAAAGGATTTCTCCACGTAGAAAGAATTGATTCGCTAACCTCCGAATCGTACGCTTTTGTAAACTTGTTGCATCCTTTGTATACTTACCGCTCTTCAAATATCCTCGAATGTCATTGTACCAAGGCTTTCCATCAAGCTCTTCCTCAATATCAAAACAGTATGATGGTTGCTCGTATATGTGGATGTAAATAGGATCAATGTAATTATGATCAGGATGTTGAATCATGGAAGACAAGGTGGCTAAGGCATCTGCCATTTCATTCTGGATCCTTGGCACATGTTTGAATTCTGCCTTGAGAAACCTTTTGCACAACCTATGCACGCACTCCAAGTATGGTAACAACTTTCGATTCTTGGTAGCCCATTCGCCTCGGACCTGATGGATCAATAGGTCTGAATCTCCTATTATTAACATTTCCTGGATATCCAAGTCGATAGCGCGTCGAAGCCCCAATATGCAAGCTTCATATTCAGCCATATTATTTGAGCAGAGGAACCTGAGTTTGGCTGATACCGGATAATGTTGCACAGTTGGTGAGATCACAACAGCTCTGATGCCGGATCCACTCAAGTTCTTAGCTCCATCAAAGAACATCCTCCAACCATCATATTCTTCAGCAATGTACTCCCCTACAAAAGCTACTTCTTTGTCTGGAAAGTAAGCCTTCAATGGTCTATAATCATCATCTACAAGGTTCTCCGCCATGTGATCTGCTAATGCCTGCGCCTTCACTGCCTTTTGTGTAACATACACTATGTCAAACTCGCTCAGTAATATATGTCATTTAGCCAGTTTACATGTAGGCACGGGCTTTTGAAAGATATACTTCAGAGGATCCATCCTTGAAATCAGATAAGTAGTGTACGATGAGAGGTAATGTTGCAGCTTTTGGGCGACCCAAGTTACAGCACAACAGGTACGCTCCAATAGAGAGTATCGAGCCTCATATGATGTAAACTTCATAATCATGTAATATATCGCCTGCTCCTTCTTTCCAGTCTCATCATGTTGCCCCAAAATGCAACTAAAAGCATTAACCAACACTGATATGTATAACAACAGTGGTCTACCAGATTTCGGTGGAACCAACACAGGTGGATTGGACAAGTAATCTTTGATTTTGTCAAACGTTTGTTGACATTCGTCTGTCTATTTCTCCGCAGCATCCTTCTTCAACAACTTGAAGATAGGCTCACAAATGACAGTAGACTGGGCTATGAAACAACTGATGTAATTTAGTCGACCTAGGAAACTCATTACCTCTTTCTTACTCTTCGACTGAGGTAGATCACGAATGACTTTGATTTTTGATGGATCCAGTTCTATACCCCGGCAGCTGACAATGAAACCCAAAAGTTTTCCAGCAGGAACCCCAAAGACACATTTTGCAGGATTCAACTTCAAGTTATACTTACGTAGCCTGGCAAAGAACTTTCGCAGATCATCTAGATGATTTGAACCCTTCTTCAATTTGATGATGACATCATCCACATAAACTTTAATTTCTTTGTGGATCATGTCGTGAAACAGGGTGGTCATTACCCTCATGTATGTAGCTCCAGCATTCTTTAACCCGAAAGGCATTACCTTGTAATTGTAAACACCCCACGGTGTGATGAATGCAGTCTTCTCAGCATCGTCCTTGTGCATCTCAATTTGATGATAGCCAGCAAAACAATCCACAAACGATTGTGTTTCATGCTTAGCACAGTTATCAATCAAGATGTGTATCAATCAGACTCTAACCTTTCCGTCTTTCTTCGGCACTGGAACAATATTTGCAAGCCAGGTTGGGTACTCCGTCACTTGAAGGATTCCAGCATCTAATTGCTTCGATATTTCTTCCTTGATTTTCAAACTCAACTTAGGCTTGTATTTTCTCAGCTTCTGCTTCATAGGAGGACATGCTGGATCAGTAGGGTATCGATGAGCTACGATTGAAGTGCTTAACCTTGTCATGTCTGCATAGGACCAGGCGAAGATATCCTTATTCTCCATAAGACACTTTGTATACTCTTTCTTGTCATCTTCTGTCATATGGATGCTTACTCGGATCTCTTGTACCACTTCTGAATTACCCAGATTTACCACCTCTGTTTCCACTAAATTTGGGTTGGGCTTTACCTCGAATTCCTTAACCTTTCTGATTAACTTTTCAAGGACCTCACTTTCTTCGACTTCCTCTAAGTCATTAATGTTAAGCTGTGCAATCTCATTATATGCCATAGTCTCAGATTCAACACTTTAATAACAGATTTTGCTGGAAGAAAGAATAACGCACAAATAAATATAAGATATTAAATAGATGGGAAAAGAACTTTATTGATTAAAACTCAAGAGTTTCATAAAACTAGCATTTGAAAACAATAACAGAGAACTGGAATTTAAAACTGTTTATTGAAAACTTTTTTTAAAAAAAATATTTGATAGATAACTTTTTCCAAAGCAACCCAGATGCCCGACGAGGTCTGGATGGAGTTGAGGTCCAAATGCTCATGTTGATCTTCGTTTCACTGTTTCCTCTAGGGTCCCCTTTCTCCTACTCGTTGATCACGACATTGCAAACTTTTCCTTCCTCCTTGGTCAGAGACAAACATTTCATGTCTTCTAGAAGCTCGTCCATGATGCCACCCATGAAACCTGCTGATCAGAATGATTGGTTCAACGGTGATATGGGTTTCTTCAGTGGATAGTAGTACCCATCTCTAGGTGGCTGCCAATCAAGCCACTCCTCAGTAGTATAATTGTATCCCAAGCCGAAAGTGGTTGAATGACAAATGAGTTTATAGGTTCAACTATTCCTTGTAGATTGGCTCCTAAACCTTTCCCGAGCTCAAAACCAAACCAGGCCATCATATCTATGATCTTCTGGCTGAACCAAGGTTGCTCTTCAATGTAGCCAACAAGCTCAACTGTATGGTACATCTCACCGTCTAGATGACCCCTTCCTTCTATCGCATATACAGGATGTCCCCTTTCCCATGGACTACAACCTCTTCATGATCCCATTCAAACTTTAAACATTGATGAAAAGTAAAGGGAACTGCTCCATCCATATGAATCCAAGAGCGACCCAGCAATAAGTTATATGAGGATGGAATGTCCAAGACCTGGAAAGCTATTGGGAAAGTAGCAGGAACAATGAGCATGTCCAAGGTTATTTCCCCAATAGTACCCCTCTGAGAGCCATCAAAAGCTCTCACATTCATTTTCCAGGTTTGAATATTTGCACTATCCACACCTAGCCTTGTCAACGTGCTCAGAGGGCAGATATTCAAACCAGAGCCTGAATCAACCAAGGCTTTGGTGATTATCTTGTCCTGATATTGAGCTGAAATGTACAAAGCCTTATTGTGGGTTGTTCCTTCAAGTGGCAACTCATCTTCGTGAAAAGATATTCGGTATGCCTCAAAAACCTGCCCGACCATTTGGGCTACCTCTCCATGAGTGATGCTAGATGGGACATAGGCTTCACCCAGGACCTTCAATAGAGCATTCCGATGAATTTCAGAAGATTGAAGCAATGACAAGATTGATATTTGGGATGGGGTTTTACTCAATTGATCAACAATAAAGTACTATTTAGCTTGTGCCTTCTTCCAGATACCATGATCTTCAAACTCTACAATTGGCGCCTTGGACTTGCTGGAGCTACTTTGAACCAAATTTTTGGAAGTGTAAATTCTTCCAGATCTAGTCACTCCTGCTGCAGTGTCTGCTTCTTCCACTTTCGTCTTTCCCTTTCCATAATCCCATGAGACAACATGGGTATCAAATTAGGGAGGAAGAGGAGCTCTGAGGACGCTGAATGGGGGCTTGGGCATGACAATCTCAACCTCAAACAGAGCACGCATTTGCACTACCATTGGAGTATGGGCGGTAACAGTCATTTATTCTTCTGGCTCAAGGACCCAGATGGATTTCTCCCAATCCGAGGTATCATCAACTTCTACCATGTTGACCTGATGGTTAAGCAGAGGGTTGTTTGCAATATTTGGTGTTGGATCCTTGAGCTGGATGGCCTTAGTATCAATCAGCATTTGAACCTTATATTTCAGGGCTCTGCAAACTTCGGTAGTGTGACCTTTCATCCCAGAATGGTAGGCACAAACCTTGTTAGGGTCATACCATTTTGTGCGGACATCCACCGGCAATGCAGGAACTGGGGTGACATAGCCAGCCTCTTTCAGTCTCTCATAAAGCTGGGCTATGGGCTCAACCAGAGGGGTATAGTTTTTTGCAGGTCTACTTTCATACTTTCATATGGAGGTCTGTTTCGGTAATTCAGTGTTTGAGTGGGTAGTGGAGTTTGGAAGTATTTTGGCTGGGAATTATAAATAGGATATGAAGCTTGCTGATATTGAGGAAGAGCATTTTGGTAATATACTGGCGTGGGATGAGGAGATATAGGTGGTGGAGCTGAAGGATATAGAGTTTGAGGATATAGAGATGGAGGTGGGGTTGTTGCTTGGTACTTATATGGGGTTCTGGTTCTCTGAGCCATCATGACCGAACCTGTTTTCTTCCAGTTTTCTACCATTCCACCAGATTGTAGAGCTTTGTTGGTGGCTTGTAAGGCCTCTAGGTTGATGATAGTCCCACTTTTTATGCCTTCTTCAATTCTTTCGCCTAACTTAATAATTTCAGCGAAACTCTTCTCAGCTACAAGTATCATCTTGTCATATTATTGTGGCTCTTGGGCACGGATGAAGTAGTCTTTCATCTGAGATTCTTCCATGGGAGGTCTAGCCCTGCCCGCCTCAGACCTCCATCTTATGGTGTAATTCCTGAATGATTCACTGGGTTTTTTCTTCATGTTTTGGATGTAGAACCAGTTAGGTGCATTTTCTATATTAAATCCAAACCTGTGCATGAAGTCGGTTGCCATGTCCACCCACTCAACCCATTTTCGAGGGTCTTGTTCAATATACCACGATAGAGCATCCCCAGTGAGACTCCTCATAAACAACTTCATGAGTATCTTCTCGTCTCTCCCCACCCCTACAAGCTTATCACAGTACATTTGCAGGTGGGCTTTGGGATCTCCAATGCCATTAAACATTTCAAACTTTGGAAGTTTGTATCCTTCAGGTAGTTCTACGTCGGGATGTATACACAAATCCTCGTAGTTCAGTCCTCCCAACCTCTTGCTTCATTCCACATGTTGCACCATGTTAGCCAAGTTATCTAATCTCTCGGTCAGGGTTTTTATCAGAATATCCTTTTGGGAGGACTCTGATTCATGGTAGTTATGAGTCACAGGAGCGGTTTCCACATATATGGGGTTGAGGTTGTTATTTCCAGGAGTATATGAAGGGTTCACATTTGGAATTGGTTCTGGAATGGTTGGCTTAGTTTGTTGGTGGTAGTGGTAAAATGGGATTTGGGTATTTTGGGCATGAAGTGGTGGGAAGATATTTGGATGAGTGGATTCAGGTCGGGATACATTTGTTGGAGGGTTGTTTGGCACGGTTGTTTGGTTAGAGTGAGGAGGATTGTCTATATTTTCGCCAAACTGGATTCCGAGAGAAATAGATAACTTGGCCAAATCGCGCATATGCGCCACTTCTTCCTCCAAATCTAAAATCTTGCACTCAAGTCTAAGGACGAGGTCACTTGGAAGTTGCCCTCCCTCAGAAGTTTCTACTCTTTCGTTGCTGTTGTTGTTGTCAACCATTTTACCCTTGTCTCTGTAGTCTATTCTT